CCCAGTGTGGTAAAAAACATCCATCTCTCCAGAAAAGACCATAGGATTGTATTTTTTATCCCAGTGTGGTAAATACTGTACTGAGGACTGAAGTTGCTTGTACTCTAGTCACGCTGCGTGGCATGACCAGTGAAGTTGAAGTACAGTCTGGCTCTTAGACTGAAGCATAAGGTTGGTTCACATTTATCTTCCAGGAATCTCCCCGTTTCAACAGCGTGACAGAGTGTGCCCTTGTGCAGCACTGGGAATCCTGCGTGGGTGGAAGACACAATATGTTGTGCATTCCATAATGCTCATGCTGTGAGCACCATCATGGACCTGCTAATAAAACCGACTGCTGTCACAGAACGGATTAACAAATGAAACTTGAGTGTTCTTCAATAACCACCATACCATCAATTATGGGAAGGGGAAGGACTGGTGTTAACTTGACATTACTAACATCAGCCCTTCAGTACCTCTTGCTGTTAAGGGCTCTCAGAGCAGGAAAAGTGTATATGCAAAGACACTGATTGAAAAAAAAGACAGTACATTACTGGAAGTTTCAGGTGGTATGAAGTAGGCAGCACAGAGGAATCTTCTGTTAGAAACAAAGAACTAGCCATAACATTTACTACAAGTGTTGCACCCTCCTCTTTGAGTCTTCTGTTTTCTTTCTGATTTTTATTTGCACACTTTCACTTTGATGATATTGAGAGTTTGATCTCTCTTGCCCCATGGAAATTCTGATACAATTCTTTTGAGAGTAACACAGTTAGAAAGGCACCCTTAGGTATGAGCTCCCAAAGCCACACAGCTTTGTTTGGAGTTGTATCAACCATACACATCAGAAACATGTCTCTGCTGACGCAAGTACTTTGCAAAACAGAAAAGGTGTGAGGGAGAGGGGTAGACGCAAACCTCAAAAGCAGATTAATCGTTACTTCAAAGAACAAGAGAACAAGTTTTGTATAATGTATGCCACTAACATTTGATGAAGAAAGTGCATTTTCAGTGATGCAAACCAATAGATCAAGATCCAATATATTTGTGAATGGCAACAGTAATATCAGCTCTTTTAGAATAGGCTGTCCAAAAAATATTTTGACTGCAGTACAGATAGAAAGTCCTATGGTATGACATATACATACAGACCAATCGCAATAAAGCACATAAAAATATACATCCACTGGGAATTGAGGAGGGGTGGAAAGGCCAGAGGCAACAAGGGGCTTTGATTTAGTGCATTTAGAGCAAATGCATTCTGCCTTCCAGTTTAAAGAGCATGTACACAACGAAAGACACCATTACACATTAGTCCAACAGAGAATATCAGCAGTATAATGGCACAGCTCTCAAAGCCAAAGAAATTCTTTGCAGAGCAGCACTGTGAGAATTGTGTAAGTTCTTGCATGCTAGGAAATTTAGGCTTGATCCAGAAATAACAAAACTCTAAGGGAAATGGCCTGCCTGCTGGGTTGCTGTAGATCTTTGCTAAAATGCTGTTGAAGCCATTTGGATACAAAATCCCTACTTACAGAAACATTTTTTTTTAATAGACAACTGGAGAAATAAATTGGTGCTCTGAGGGCTTCGGAAAATTATTACAATGATTGCCAATTCTTTGCTATATATAACAGCTAACTCCCTTACAGTATGTGTAATAGTGAAAGATAATTGTGTTGCTGCTGGAGAACAAACTAAGTTCATACCCTCAGCAACATTTTAAAGATACTTAAGTCTACCATTAACACTGGAAAGATAAAACATTTAGTGGAAAGGTACTCTGAGTTTGAGGAATGATATCCAGAGGTTTAAAAGGAAATTTTTTTTCCTCTACTCCTTATGCCTCTAGCCGAGGCTCTGAGTCAGGCCAGTTTTCTAGCTTTCAGGTGACCTGCTATGTTGCATATGTACGTAAGGTCTGACTGACTCTTCTCTATGTGTTTCGACCCTGCCACACTCCTTCCTAAAAGGATCTCAGGGTGAGATTATAGTTCCATCTCCCAGCGTGAGGGAGAATAATGCTTTCTGTCAACTAAGTACCAGCCAGCTGATTCCTAGTGATATCCCTGTTTCAACAGGCAGTGATGACTACGTGTGTGTGTGTGTGCAGGGAGTTTTCAAACTCCCTGCTGCATTTATTTCAGCACTAAAGCCCATAAATATGCAATAAGGAGAGTCTTAGACTTGTTCAGAGCACAAGTAAGAAGAATCGATATCTGCATTAAGACTTCAGACAGCATATGGAGGAATAATATTAAAAACTTATCTTAAAATAGGCTTACAAAACTCACCACTTCCATAGGTGACACTAGGATTAATAGAAAGGTCAAGTTATACTTAGATCATTTGTAGTTCTTGCATAAGAGTCTGTGTGTGTGTGTGTGTGTGTGTTTAGAGAGAGTTTCTTGCTTCAGAGCTTACAAACAAGGTAACTGGATTTCCTTGTCAGAGATAACATGGGGGAACCTGAAAGTCCAATGAAGCTCTTCTCCCTATAGCAAATAAGTGCAACAAAACCATTACTATGGTTCAGTAGTCACAGTTCTGAGGACTACAAAATTCACCACAGTGCATTGGGTTATGGGTGCAGTTGAAGAGAATATTTAAACAGTGTCAGTGGCAATTTTCTAAAATTGGTATGTTCAACTAGCCACCTCCAGGCCAAAATCACCAGTTTTGATAATTCTGGGCATTAGAACCAATGTCTGAGATTAGACGGACACAGAAAATCTTGACAAAATGGACTTGTCCTTGACCTATTAGTTTATTTCAAAAACTTCTGTTCAGTAAACTTACATACATTAGGGAATGTTGTAGGTATTTGATCCTTTCTCTGTTATTCAACAACATGATATATGTCAAAGGCGATCAAAGAAACTGAAGGGAACTAAAGAAACACCTTCACTGACTGATCAAGGGAAACGCTTTTGTAATTGCGTACTTCAAACAAAAGTGCACCACCATTTTTCAGAACAAAGCTACTTAACTTTACCATGAAGGTAAATTTAAGTTTTACTGCAGTCAACACTGACCGAAATTAAGAACCATTTTTTTACAATTCTCTCACATTACCCTTTCCTCAGCCTGAGGCATTTAAAGCTGCTCAGCTACTTAGGCATTTAAAAGGTCAATTTGCAAGGCATTTTGGTTTGCTAATTTCCACAGTTAGCTAGAATCTTAAGTCATGTTCCAAATTCAATATGAATCATGTCTAATTTTTCTAGTTCTAAGGAAGTTAATGGAGTGCAGTCTCTAAATTAGGGCAAACAGGCAAATTTTTAATACGCTAGATTTTTCACTCAAGCACACAGATTTTTGTCTCTATCCGAACGGTATAAATTTTGTTCAAGATTTTCTATCCTTGTATCTTTTCCAGTAATAACTTTGCAATAATGTCTGAGTAAATTTCGATGAATTGTTTATCTGTTTGAAGCCTTCGTATATTGGGATTTCCCACCACTCACATCTAGAAAGGACCAGAAGTCTTGATTGGGGAAATCACTCCGAGCATATTTTTGCCATGCAGTCAGCCACAATGGCATGATAAGGTGGGATTTATGGCTCTAATGCCTGCTCACTCCAGTACTGGCATGCCTGAAAAGTTACTGATACTACCATACAGGCTACATTGCTCAGAACGGATGGCCTCCTGTTTTCTCTCTCTGCAAAACTAAAGTTCTGAAGAGGAAAGAAGAATAAAGCCCTAAAAGGAAGGAAAAAGGCGTGGATTCTAAACATGGAGTAGGACAATAGATCACTATCAAATTAAGCACAACTAATTTTCCCTATATTGCCACACATACAATTCACTAGGACAAAAGCCTACACTCTCTCTGAAATCCTTTTTACATTCACATAGGAAGATGTGCACATTAATGGATCCTGGGATGATTTTGGAAATTCCTTTGAACACACTATGTTTCTCCAGGAGAAGAAGAAAAGTTGCAAGACAAGATCAGGCTGATGTCGAAGAAGCGCCTCTTTACTCCTTTTAACCTAGACATGCTGTTTAAAAGTAACATATATCATCAACACCGCACTATGCATCCAGCAACAGCCTAGAGAAAGGTGTGAAAATTCCAGGATGAAGGACACTGTCCTTCTGAAAGTTCAGCAAGTGTCTGAGTAGCATCCGTATTTCTCTCGCGCTGTGGGAAGGAACAAGCCAGGCTCTGTGCACGTCATTGAGATGGCCCATAACACCAAGTCAAGTCATGGCAAAAACACTTCCAACGCCATGTGTCTAGGATTCGGGGCGCCACTGTGATCATACCTCAATGCAATATTTCCGTACTAGATGCAGGTTGTTGCTAGAGTGCAAGTAAACGTTGCAACTGACCACCACGAGCCAGTCTGGGAGCAGTGAATTAGCGACAGGCTCAGGCACTCTAGTCTAGGAGAAGAGTAAAAAAGGAGTGTGGCTGCAGCACTGGGAACAACAACGGTCCTTGTTCTCCTGCCTTGAGTGAAAGTAAACAAGTCCATTGTTATCTGACTTTGCCAAACCTCAAAGTATAAGGCTAGAAGGAAAAATAAGTTTTACAGAATTGAGCATAGACAACCCTTTCCTTCCCTTCATAAATTGTATGTTACACTAGTTGAAACTACCGAAGTGTTTACAGGATGCTATATATATATATAATGGCACATTTAAGCTTTTTAAAGGGATTGGAACATTTCAGGAATGTCTCAGGTGCTGAAAAAGGCTAATGTATTACAAATCATATAATATTTTAATTCAGAAAAAATATGTTTGAGTATTTTGACCTAGCATCGTAAGGGTTAGGAAACCGAACAAGGACGCCATGAAGCATGACTGACAAATCAGTCGAGCTAGTCCGCTTCAGATACATATTGTGCAAGGCATTATCGCTGCAATCAGTCACAAAAAATGCATATTTAGTTTTTGTACATTAAATACTACACCTGTGAACCTATGTAAAAGATATACAAAATATAAATGTCATCAGGACTGTATTTTTTGAACTTTTTAAAACAAACACAAAGTATATATATATGTAGGCATATAGGTTGTAATTTCAATGTCAACTCTAGCACAGTTTGTCTCTTCTAAATACAGACCTGTATACTTCCTAGTCCAACACATGCACCTACGAACACATGATCATGCATACAGCTTTACGTTCTGCTGTTTGCAGAAGAGTCAGAATATACAGCACTATACATTGTTTCAACTCAAAATTGACTGGCAAATTAAGGAAGATGCCATTCAAAATAAATTCCTTGTGAGCTATTACCAAAAAAAAAACCCAGAGAAAACCAGGGGTATAGTTATTTCGTCTCAATAAAAACACTGAAGACCATGATGATGATGACCTAAGATTAAAAACGCTTTGTCCGGCATGTGGTGGGGTCACTCTTGGACAAGATACAACAGTGTAGAACTGGTTGCTATAACACATACCGAACACAGTTATAATGAGGCGTAGAGCTTTCACAACACCATCCAACCCAGCTCGGGGTTCAAACTACAGAGGTCTCTGACCGAAAGGAGACAGAGCAGTTGTATGCTGTTCTTCTCACAGCAGGCGGTGCTGACGGTGATCTGGATGCCCATCTGGAAGGTAAGCGTCGGTTTGCTGGCCGAGCGGGCCGGGAGAAACCCTTCCCACTTGAACATTTAGCTGGCACAGATATCTAGAACACAAAGGCAATTCCTTGCTTTAACAAGTTACGGCTTTTGTGGAATGTAGCGGGAATGTAGGAAGACATTTGGGATGACCTCAGAACAGGTGGTCTGAAGCTATTAAAAGGAGCACAGCAATGCGCGGAATGCAAAAGAACAGCTATTTCTATGTATAGGGATTCTCACATCGGTTGTGGTTTAAAATATATGGAGACAAGTGTCAGACACAAGGAAAGGTATAAAATGTTAATGCAAGCCAAAACTGACATTCACTTCTCATTTCTTTTCATTTTTGGAAGTTTTTTTGTCAATGAACACTGTATACTGTTCTAATAGTAGAACTCAGAATCCCATCTTACATTACTGGAGTATGATCTACATACTTTTCAGGTATTTTTTGATAGATCCTATTTCAGCACTCACATCTTGCTAAGAACTCCGATTCCACTAGTGCAACGTGAAGCTCTTTACACTCTGTAGCTAATTCAGAATGGATATGGATTAATGCAGTATCATGTCTACATGCAGAGCCTTATACACCTGGGAAAATCAACAGATTTTGATTGTAGCTACAGTGCTGTAAATTGGAAATAATTAAAATAAACCAAATGCCTCATGCCATATGTAGTTCTTCACACCTCTGTGACGTGAATGCTGATGGACCTAAAATGGCACCCCCAAATCAGGCAATATTCTACACTTACTTTGTACAGATAGAAATGACAACGTAAAGCGTGAGCCTATGGAGACAAAAAATCCAATTGGCTCAGTAAAGTTATTCTGGGCATACATCAATGTAAACGCAGTCATTATCTAGTCATTATTTTT